CTGCTAATCTACTCCATGTAGAAGTGAAGACTACTTAGTTACGAGCCATCAAATTGGAACCAACTTTCAGTAACTCTATTAGGGTTTTCAGGGCAAATGGCATATTTAAGGAGTGGTTTTATCAATTCCACTCCTCCAGAGAGTTTCCGTGACTGAGGAGGGATCCTTGTCTCCAGAGTCCTAATCTGTCACTCTCTCCACTACACAACACTGAAACAATTTGGTGTACTAATACTGTACAAGATTTTAATGGTATCTGGATATTTTGAGAAATATGTTCTTAATTCCTTATCAGGATCAATGGGATTTTAAATTGCGCTTCGATCTGGGCTGTGTTGAGTCCTAAATTAGAGTTCAGCTTTTATTTTGGAAGATATTTCGAAGGTTGGTACAAAATACAAGCTCAAGTATTTGTTTACCTCAAGCTGTTCATCTTCTAAAAGTTTTATAACCAGCCACCTGATGTCATCTACCGCTTCTTTGTTGTTTAGGAAGATAAAAAGATTATAAAATACCATGGTCTGGAGGTAGGTGAGCACTGTGTACCTAGCGTGCCATGAACTACTCTTTGCGGTCTGCAAAAACAAAACAAAGGGAAGAACACAAGGACAGCAATTAGGAAAACAAAGTGACAAACCTTAGACAAAGAGTGGATAAGCCTCAAAATGAAACTTTCCAGCTATCTCCCACTTATGGTGAAAATGTATGGTTTTCATCATGAGTGGGCGATAGCATGCAAGAGAAAACTGGACAACCATCTGTCAGATCTGATTTGATTTTAATTCCTCCACTGAGCAGGGAGTTGGACCAGATGCAGGCCTTATAGGACCCTTCGAAATCAATTAGTCTATGAAAACAGAACATCCCATAATTACATTTCAGCATTTATCTACACATAGTACTGGTTTTTTTAAAAAAGACCCTTACAACCTCCAACGTTAACCCCCTTTCTCCACTGATGACACCTCAAAAATCAAAATGAGGAGTTCTTATTAAGCTATCTGAAACTATTCTGGGATGGCTCAAAATACTGCCACCGAGAAGGCCTCACATGGTTGATGTAGCAAAAACAGTGCACAAGATTGCAGCACCTAAAGGACTAACAGGTTTTATTTGGTACAAGATTTTAAGGACGGAAACAAACTTCTTCACCTGAAAGGCACCTGGTAAAGTAGACCACAATTTACAAAAGCACATTCCAAAGACAACTTGCTAGTCTCAGAGGTGCCACAAGACTCTTTGTTGCTTTGGATACAGAAGACTATATTAACACAAGCCAGTCCCCTGGCTCATTTTATGAAGTCTTTTAATTTTTCCCACTGAATATAAATGAATGGTTATATTCACTTCTACAGGGAAAAGCCGAGGGCTAGGAAATATAATTCCAGGACTGCCAACCCCAGAATTTTGCAGGATGATTTCTGGGACTAGGAGAGGAAAAAGGAGGTGGCAAAAGAGTGGGTCTTCCTACTACCACCATCTGCTTCACTGCACCTGTTCCCTTCCATGGGAAGGGAAGTCTTGCTATCCATTAGATTCTATAAGGGAAGCTTCTCAGTGAACTACACAGTACCTTCCCACAGAGCAGTGAAGTGACTCTCCTCAAGCAGTGTGATTGAGAGGATATTCCCTTCTGTTTCCCAGCCAAAGCACATATAGCAAAGCAGATAATGGCAGTAGGAAGACCTCTCTTTTGCCTTCTTCCTTCCCCTTTTCTAGTCTGAGGAGTGTGTCTGGGGGGTTCTATGTGACATCGGAGGCAAGAATCCTGAAATTACAAATATCCCATCCCATTCGCAAGGGTTCTGGATGAGCAAGGCCAAAATTTGCCCTTAGCGCGTGATAATAGGTTGTTCAGTACTATTACAGTGACGCCTCGCAAGATGAACGCCTCATGCAACGAAAAATCCGCAAGAACGAAGCGTTTTGCTATTTTTTATTTTTTATTTTTATTTTTTGGTGACTCGCAAGATGAATTTTTCTATGGCCGTGCTTCACAAGATGAATTTTTTTCAATGCATTCCTATGGGAAATGCATTGAAATGCATTCCTATGGGGAAATTCACAAGATGAAATTTTCGCAATACAAAATGACTCGCAGAACAATTTTTTTCGTCTTGCGAGGCATCACTGTACTAAGTTCGTGTGCTGGTGGGTGGGGGTGAGAGGCAGTGATTTCTGTAAGCAAAACCAGCAGAGATGTACTACACTTCCATATTCAGTTCTTCTTCCACACACACCCCACCTTTGTAACAACAAGCATTCTGCTACTCAATAAATCATTTCAGATTTTACAGGAGATCCCCATGTGTTCGGGCAGAATGTACTTGTTGTCAAGCACTGTCCTCAAGAGAATATGAAAATAAACTCAGTATGCCAGCAAAAAAAAGTATGTAGTCTTTAAGGAGCATCACGCACTTGTTTTAGCACCTGAAGTACCAAAGGCACTTGTTTGGGATACAGTAATCCCTGAGACATTAAGGATAAGCACATCTTAGCATCTCTCTTGAGTTCATCGTAACTATTGTCATTTTCTACAGGTGCAATCTGTGGAATGGAGAACAGGAACAGTTAGCAAACATGGGTTTATGGAAGACAACAGAAAAGTCTTTATTTTGTGGGTAAAATACAATGCACAGTGAACTAAAGAATGCCACAAACTCTTAGGAATGTGCACTGCCCCCCCGACCCAGTCTGTGTGCCTCTGTTGAGCCTACAGGCTGGTGCCCCACATGCAGTCGGCCCTTTGGGGAAGACACACCCACTCAGTTTTTGTACACGTTGAGATCTGTGCATTTCTGGATCTTTGGTGGAAACACCAAGGGGAAAGAGGGCCAAATAGCAGCTAGAATGCTACAACTGGACAAGGTGCAAGAGTTTTGGCAGAGCCTGAAATGCAGGTATCACAGAAGGGCTTTTGGCCACAGCAGGTCAGTCTTCAAATCCAGGCGCTCTGCTTTATTTTTATTTTTTTTTTCCCCCTTCCTCTTTCTAGCTACCAGAAGAAAGGCACAATCTTGGTAGGGAAGAGAGTGCCTTCCTAAGCAGCCCCAGGGAAAAGGCAATAAGCACAGTCCTTCTTAAAAGGGCAATGCAGGGAATCTGCTTTTCATAACTTTTCACAATCCCTTCCTCTTTATCTTTATCAGCAGCAAATGTTTTTTAAAAACCAACTTATTTTGGTTGTTTTAGGTTTTTTGGGCTGTTTGGCCGTGTTCCGAAGGTTTTTCTTCCTAATGTTTTGCCAGTCTCTGAGGCCGGCATCTTCAGAGGACAGGAGTTAGAACTCTGTCTGTGTTCTGGTGTAGTGTGTGGGATAATTGAGTATTTGTAACTGTGGGATCAGCTTTTTGTCCTTTTCAGGAGAATGGGTGATTATAGTGATCACGGTTTTTTTTTTGTTATGGGTGTATTGTTGTGATAAGGGGGAGATGGTCTGTCACTGTGATTGATGGGTGTCATTAGCTAGTCTTTTGTGTGCAGTGATCACCGGTCCTTGTGGCTTAATCTCTAGGAGTGAGCTACGAGGAGCCAATCCTCGATATATGGAAATATGAGAATTTTTTGCAGTCTGAGTTAAGTGGCTACAGGTACCATTCACTTGGTGAATACTCTTGGAGCTGTTGCAAGGCTGAAAGGTAATGATGTATTTGTTTAACTCCTGTAGGTCTAAGATTGGGCGAAGACCTCTGTCCTTTTTGGGCACTGTGAAATAGTGAGAGAAAAACCCTTTGTGTTCTGAGACGGGTTGTATGGGGAGTAAGTTACTTATTTCCTCCTGCAGGGTTGGAGATGGTGAAGCAATGACGTGTGTTGGAAAAAATGGATGCAGTAGCCATCTCGGATGATGGAGTACCCAGGCATCTGTAGTGATGAATTCCCAGACAGGTAGGTGTTTCCAGAGGGCAGCATGGGTGGAGTGGTGTGTGATATTGGTCATGGGAGTGTCAAATGCAATGTTTGGGTTTGTGGTCGTTGCGCCTAGTAATGGGCTGTTGACGGAGGCTTATTTCTTTGATTTCTGAGATAGGGTGAGGCTCTCAACGCGGCGGTTGAAAGAAATTGAAAGGGGGGCCTTGACACCAAGGTACTTATATGAGGGGGGAAGGGCCTTATTCTAGTGTGTTTTTTTCTACCGCAGAAGCTCTAGAACTTTCCTATGAGCCTCCGCGCAGGTGCAGATCACCTAGGGTGTGATTCACAGAGGCCATGAAGAAGAACTGAATCATACCACTTTTGTTTTTACATTTTTTTCTTCCTCTGGCGTAAGAAGAGGAGATTGGGAAAATTTGTGGGTTTTGTTATTTTTGTTTGATTATGTCTTCTGATGAGGTTCTGCAAGTTTTAGCAAGCTCTCCTTAGAGATAAATCAGAACTCAAACAAGCAAAACAGAAACTGGGTTAACATGCAGAGAGCTCCTCTTATAAATAATGTATCCCTTTTGCTGTAAACAACCAAGAATATTCCATCCTTCAACATTTACATAAGGCACAGAGAACATATTCAGAATCAGAGTATAATGAAGATATTCTCTCTTATATATATACTAGATGCAAGAAGAAATGTTCAATTCAAAACCAGAAGAAACTGGGGGAAAATAGAAGGCTTTCTACTTTTGTTTGTGCTGAAATTTTCACAGGACCACAATGGAAGTACTGTACAGTAGGGCTTCTTCAATCAGAAAGTGCTTCTTCAATAAGAAGAAATGTAGAGGTAACTCTTTTAGCCTTTTGTTTCTGTTCTAAAAGAGTAGAAGAGCTATGTTTACATTTCTTTTATTGAAGTATCACTTCTTCCACTGTGGTCGTGTGAAAATTTCAGCACAAACAAAAGTAGAAAGCCCACAATTTTTCCCAGTTTCTTCTGGTTTTGAATAGAAAATTTCTTGAATAGAACATTTCATCCCTGGAAAAGACCCTGATGTTGGGAAAGTGTGACGGCAAGAGGAGAAGGGGACGACAGAGGATGAGATGGTTGGACAGTGTCATTGAAGCTACCAACATGAATTTGACCCAACTCCGGGAGGCAGTGGAAGATAGGAGGGCCTGGTTTGCTCTGGTCCATGGGGTCACGAAGAGTCAGACACAATTTAACGACTAAACGAGAAAACATAACTCTTGCAATAATTTTGTAAAAATTAAAATTTCTTTGAAAATAGGAGTTCTCTTAATCTCATCTGGTAAACATTTTGGAAGTAAATGGGGTGTTTGAGGAGGTTCAATATGGCTCCATTCCCCCCACAGTATTCTTATTAGAACATTTTTAAACTATTGTTTCTAGGCAGAACAGCAAGCTTCTGAATCAATCTTCCAATCTCACTTCTTCTACAAGCGGTTCCAATCAATCAGAGATTTCCTAACGATCATATCTGTATGACCTCAGTAGCCCATCAGATTGGGTTATGTGACAATACAGCAAAAATGATTCAGTGAGATGAGGAAGCAAGCGCTTTGGTTTCAATGGAAGTCAGAGAGACTAGACTGCTAAAAGATTCAGACCCCTTCACAGCAGTCCTTCTCCCAATAAAACAAAAAGCAAAAGCAAAGTGTGCTGTTTATATACTGCCCCAGAGCACTTCAAGGACTCTCTGGGTGGTTTACAAGTTAATTATGCAGGTTCACATTGCCCCCCCCCCAGCAAGCTGGGTACTCATTTTACCAACCTCAGAAGGATGGAAGGCTGAGTGAACCTTAAGCCAGCTACCTGGGATAGAACCCTGGGTCATGAGCAGTTTTGGCTGCGGTACAGCAGTTTAACCACTGTGTCTCAAGGCTCCTCAAAAGACGAGGGGTGGGGTGGAAGAGCACTTTCTTGGAGATGAATGTTTATGAAACTTTCCCCATCAACCCATTTTCTGCTCAACGCTTCTTAATTCTAAAGGAGGAAAATAATCAGTTGGAAGGGAAGGTTGTTATGCTTTAGATATACTGATTTCTTCACAACAATTGTAATTTTGCCCACTCCAGCATGTGATGAGCACTGAGTCATGCAAAGTGGGTGGGACTGACAATTCAAAGTGGATGGAACTACAGAAGCATTGTCTATTTTCACATGCAGCTACACCCACACTTGACAGCCAGTTCTTCCTAGGTTACACAACCCAACATGATAGACCAGCATGACTGGAGCTGCATTCAGTGAGCTTATGTCCTTCAAACAAGCACTATTCCTGACTGAGAAGAGGGCTTCATATACTCTTTTAATTTGTTAAGCACTGCTGATTTAATGTTTTCAGAAAATGACTTGCAATCTAAATACAGTTGAAGCTATGAACGCTGTACCTTGAAAAACAACGGCAAAAGCTGAAGCTGTTCTGTAACAGCTGTGGAAAAGGCTCTCCCTGTGCTTGCCATCAACCACTTCAGAACTGTTGGAAGGTAAATGAAAGACAAATGAAATAGCTCAACACAAGGTGAAACTGATTAAGACAAGAGAAAATGAATAATTCAGAATCATCTAAACTAGTAATTACCTCAAAAGACATCTACAGCTCTACACTATACACTGAACTAGGCTTTGGCAAGTTTAACACATATGCACTTACTGGTTTTCAAAAGTTTAATGCCTAGCGTTCGCTCATCTTCATCTCCAAATCCATTCTCTTCCATCACGTGATTCTGAATTTCTTCATCCACTTCCATAAGGGGTTTGAGTTTTTCAAGTATTCGGGAAGTGAACTCATGGACATGAGGAGATTTTGTTGGAGCGGTATTTGGTAAGGAAACATCTATCATAAAGATGTACGTCAAAACGCTACAGAAAACAAAAATGCATATGTTTTACATTAACAATGCACAGTTTAATATAAACCGTCCATAGTCATAGAGAAATTCCTTTTCTCCAGCCACTGAAGTTCAGGAAGGATAATGTGACCATTTTCTGAGAACTGTACAAATTCAGAAGAACCATAATCAATCAAATATTTTGCCTAGTGACTAAATTCTTCAAGAACAAAACAGAAGAGCTAACAGAAGTCAAGAACATCTGATTTATCAGCAGTTCAAAATTTCTGTTGGTTCAGCCTCCCCAAAGGGAAAGGCACAAGCAACTGGCCTTTATGAGCTACTCAAGGAAACATTCTACCGTAACAATGCCACAATCAAAAAGGACCTGCTTATGCCAACCTGCCTGCAACAGGACCTCAGATACTGAATGAGATGTATGTGAGGGCACATATGAGAAGACATCACTAAAACGCAGTCCGCAAGTGGTTGGGATTTTAAAGGTAAGAACCAGCACTGTGAATCGAACATGGAAACAAATGAAGAACCAATGAAGATCAAATCAGATGGGAGTGAAATGTCCTCACATCAAATGTAAGTTTGCTTATAAATAACTGCATTGCCTGAGAAACAAAAGCCCACATTCAGTGTTTTTGATCATACAAGACCATACAGAAAATGTATTTTCTCTTGGATATGAGAAAAGGAGTGCCACTTCTAAGATGGTATGTGCCACAACAATCTATTTTCCCATTAACCAGAGATGTACTATTTCACTTAAGCAAGGTTATTCAAGAAACAGTGCTGAAAATAATGCAAGGATTTAAGTAAGGGACGCCACCAACCTTCCTATCCTTTCTCTGACATTCTTGTACACTTGGGTGAGTTTAGGCTCCAAGTACTTCAGCAATCGGTGCAGCAGCTCAGGGACGCGCCATTCTTGCTGTGCAAGCCCCCCCTGCAGTACATACAGACGACTGTTGGGCCAGGGAAGGGGGAAGATGGGAGGAAGAAAAGAAAACAGTGCTTGTGGTTATAATTTTAGGAAAGTGCACCTATACCATTTCTAAAAGATACTATGTACGATGAAAATTGCTCTCATACACTATACTGGCTGAAATGCTATTGCTTAGCATAGTAAACTGGAAATAAAGTAGGCCCCTCAAATCAATGGAACATTATAGAGGAGCAATCTCATCAAACTGGAGCTGATTCAATGGGCCTATTGTAGCGGTGAGTTGCTATACCAAGCAACAGAATTCCAGCCATTGTCTTATGAAATGGAGAGCAATCACATATTTTCAAGCAGTCGATTTTTTTTATCCTCATTGAATTCGTACAACATAAACTACAGTGGTACCTCAATTTATGAACATCTCCACTTGCAAACGTTTCAAGTTACAAACTGCTCCGTTCGCAAAATGTTGCTTCGACTTGCGAACGGAGTCTCGACTTACGAACAAAAAAAAACATTTCTTGCCCTTTTTTTGATCTAAGTTCATCTTAGGTCAAAAGAAGAAAAAAATAAAAAATATTCTCTCCCTAGTGGCAGAGTATGGATTAACCGGCTTTGCATTACTTTCTATGGGAACTAATGCCTCTATTTACAAACAGTGCCTCGACATAAGAACGAAAAACAGTTTGAACGGATTAAATGGTTTTCAATGCATTCCTATGGGAAATCTTGTCTCGACTTACGAAGTTTTCGATGTATGAATGCCGTTCCAATACGGATTAAGTTCATAAGTCGAGGTACCACTGTATGTTACAGTGTACCTCAATTTTTTATCATAAAGACTTGTACACAATCACACAAGAGATGATATTACAAATGTTGGTCAAAGCAATACCGCTATAATGCCATTACCTTATTTGCCACAGCATTACTTTACTGTAAGCCAGACCATTAAGTTAGGTAATCTAGTTAGAAGTTAAAACAAGGGAACTGTGACATGACTTATGGTTAGTACACTGGTGCCTCGCTTAACGATGTTAATTTGTTCCAGTGAAATCGCTGTAGAGCGAAAACATCGTAAAGCAAAAATTAAAAACCCACTGAAACGCATTGAAAACCGTTCAATGCGTTCCAATGGGCTAAAAACTCGCCATCCAGGGAAGATCCTCCATACGGCAGCCATTTTCGGTGCCTATCTAGTGAGGAATCCATCCTAGAGAACAGGGGGGACCATTTTCTTCAGCTGGCGGCCATTTTGGAACCTGACGATTAGCTGTTCGGTGATTGTCGTAATGCAAAAAATCGGTTCCCGAAGCAGGGAACCGATCATTGCACAGTGAATTTTGCCCATAGGAAGCATTATTAAGCGGATTCGTCGTTATATGGGGCAATCGTAAAGCGAAGCACGACTGTAATTTCTACTATAGGCTAACATGAAAAATCAGTTCTCTGTATAGCTGATTCTCACTGTCACCCATGATTTGACTCAAAAGCAGATAGAGGTTTTTTTACCAGGCATCAACGAAAGATCCACCTTCACCATTCAATGGAGACTCCAGTAACAGTTCAAACAACCAATGCAGCTTCCGGGGGTCCCTGCTCTCCTGTATATTTTTTTAAAATGAAGAATATCATTTCTAGCCAACAGGAATCTTAGGACAGCCCTCTGTAAGTCATTATCAAATCACATAATAATGTTTTCCTTACTGAAGGGGGAAAAACCCTTCAGGAAACAAAAATCGAGATAAGCATTATCTTTAAAATATAAACTATATTATAACAATAAAAATGCAGCACCCCAAACACTATCTTACACACAATGTTCCTGTAATTATTTTTAATAGATTTCTATCTTAATCAGAGTAATTAAATCCCTCTGGGCATGTTTAAGCTTTGGATATAAGATTAAGCCTATGCATGTTTATTCAGAAGTAAACCTCAATAAGTTCAACAGGATTTACTCCCAAATGAGAGAACAAAGAACTACAATCCAGGTTGCAATCCTATACATGCTTCTCAGATAACAGGTCCCGCTAAATTCATTAAAACTTAGAAGACATACAGAGCGCTGCATTGTAAGTTCTCAAAATACAGTTCATTTAATTTTATTTACATGCAAATGAAAACAAACAAACAGCTTTCAGAGCTATATTAATGTTCTTTCTAGGTAAAGATGCTATCATCTCCACGGGCACAAGAAGCGCCACATTCTCTTAGATCACATCACAGGTGAAGTCATCTTTCTGCCCCACAGGCAAAGAGGTGCAGCTAAACCTCAAGCCTTCCACTGCAGGCATAATCACAATTGCAAAGGAACTTCAAAAGTCGAAAAGGTAAAGTGAGATCAGGTAAGGAGAAAGAGCCTCGTGGCACAGTGGTTAAAACGCTGTACTGCAGCTAAAAACTGTGCTCACGACCTGGGGTTCAAATCCCAGGTAGCCGGCTCAAGCTTGACTCAGCCTTCCATCCTTGCGAGGTCGGTAAAATGAGTACCCAGCTTGCTGGGGGGGCAATGTGTAGCCTGTATAATTAAAAATTGTAAAACCGCCCGGAGAATGCTTGTATAAGTCAAAAAAAAATGTAGAAAGTGCAAAGGCCTAACTATTGGAGAGTTTCCAGCAAAATAACTGAAATGTGCTTTAGCCTACCCAAATCGAAGGACTGAGTAATAATAATCATGTTAAAACTGCAGAGCTGAAAGGGATCATTGAGTCCAGCCCCTAACAAAGAGTCACAGTTGGGAATCAAATTCCCAACCTCTGGCTCTGCAGCCACTGAACTATAAGAGGAGCATGG